ATAATCCACATTAGTGGAATGGTTCTTTATGATAATAGGAATGTGACAATTTTTTCCATTGCGGGAAGGGTCAGTGGCTGTCCTGGTGTTGGCTTTGTCTCCCCACCTCCCAGTGGATATTCGGTCCCTTTATGAATGCCCACAGATAAACACTAATATTAAAAGAGCCATTTTTATAAGACAACATCAGGCAGACTTGGGATTTTCAGTTCGTCCAGTGACTAGTGCTTTAATAAGGTTGTTTCCTAGAGATGGGTCACATGCCAAAAGAACTGAAGATGGAAGTGGTCCTAATGTGATCATAGCCACTTGGCCATACTAGAGGGTGTCTAGGGGTGGAGAAGGCTAATGGGTAATTTGGGAAGCTCTCAAAGTAAGTGGGACTACAAATGAATTCTAAGTATTTGCTTAACATGAAGAGAATGGTATGGGAAGCCAAGGGAACATGGGGCCTATCAAGTTCAGGACTGCAGATGTTAGGAAACAGGTGAGGATGGAGAATTCCTCTAGATACCTAGTTAGCACATTTGTGAGGCACAATTATTTAAAGCTCTTAAATCTGGTCCAGAGATGAGAGTAACACTGGTTCAGGGTTGTGGAAGGAATTAGCCCTAGATTAAGTAAAGAATCATCATGAGTCTTCATAGCTAAATCTCGTTTTAAAGTTTTCCAAGATCTCTATGTATATTTTCATCAGCAGTGGTCATGAACACCCAGTTAAATGAGGAGTGGGCCTTAGGATTTGAATAGATGAAGAGCCACTTTTTAATGCTTGTGTGTGGGCCTCTCCCCTTTCCAACTTCCCCACATTTATAAAACTCCCAGTGTGCGCAGATGCTGCACTGAGCCTCCTTTCCCAAGAATGACCTTGACCCTCTTCTATTCTCCCTGAATAAAAGCTTACTTCATCTTCACATCTAAAGTGTCAGCTATAGCAACTCTCAAATGATGGCAAGAATATCCCAGCATTTCCAAGTTCTGGCTCAGCAGTTAATAGAAGTTTTGAAGATTAAATGAAGTAGTAGATATTAAACCCTTAGTTATTTTTATCCTGACTATTATTTTTAACAATACTGGCAATGGGCCAATCTCCTGTATGGGACTGACCTTGACTTGCAGTTTTTCCATCTTCTCTTGTTTCTCAATAGAGTAAGTCTTTTCCTAAAATAATATGATTGATGAAATATTTATTGTTTGATTTTTCCTTTAATATTTAAAAAAACAGAAATACCATCTTCTGTGTACTACATAGGAATATTAAAATGACAAGTCTCATTGAAATCGTGAGTGTGTAAGTGGTCTTCAGAATATACATGGTGGGCTGGCACTATGCCGCAGTAGGTTCATCCTGTGCTGCGGGTGCCAGTATCCCATATGGGCACTGGTTCTAGTCCTGGCTGTTTCTCTTCTGATCCAGCTCTCTGCTGTGGCCTGGGAAAGCAGTAGAAGATGGCCCAAGTCCTTGGGCCCCTGCACCCATGTTGGAGACCTGAAGAAGCTCCTGGCTCTTGGCTTTGGATTGGCTCAGCTCTGGCTGTTGCAGCCATTTGCGGACTGAACCAGTGGATGGAAGAACTTTCTCTCTGTCTCTCCCTCTGTCTATCTGTAACTCTACCTCTGAAGTAAATAAATAAAATATTTAAAAAAATTTAATGGAAAATGTATATTATGAAAAATTTATACATGGATTTCATCAGGCTTTAGTCCATTTCCACATGAACTTTTTTTTTATTTGAAAGGCAAAAAGATAGAGGCAGACAGACACAGATCTTCCATTCTTGGTTACTCCCCAAAAGCCACAATAGCCAGAGCTGGATCTAGCCAAAGCCAAGAACCTGGACGTTAATACAGGTCTCTTATATGGGTGACAGGGAACTAAGTACTTGGGCCATCCCTTGCTGCCTCCCAGGGCTTGCATGAGGAAGAAACTGTAATCAGAAGGGGAACTGGGACTCAAACTCAGGCACTGTGATATTGGATGTGGCATCCTAAAGGGTGTCTTAATCATGGTGCCAAATGCCTGCCAATCCAGTGAACCTTTTGAAGTATCCTGTATTCATGACTTGATAATGAGAAGAAGATATTATTCTGAGATTAAATAGGTTTGATAGTCTTCGGACAGTTCTCCAGGAAGTGACCGCCCACTCCCTTTCTCTACCCCCGGGGACATTTGGCAGTGTTTGGAGACATTGCTGGTTGTAGTAACTGGCATCTGGCAGGTTGGGGCCATGGATGGAACTGAGCATCCTGTAATGCACAGGACAGCCGCAAATTCATACAAAGACTACCATAACAATTGCTGCTGTAATGAATTACTATATATTTAGTGGGTTAAAACAACACAGATTTATTACTCTGTATTTCCATAGATCAGAAATGTGGGCCGGTGCCACGGCTCAATAGGCTAATCCTCCGCCTAGCGGTGCCAGCACACCGGGTTCTAGTCCCGGTTGGGGTGCTGGATTCTGTCCCGGTTGCCCCTCTTCCAGGCCAGCTCTCTGCTGTGGCCCAGGAAGGCAGTGGAGGATGGCCCAAGTGCTTGGGCCCTGCACCCCATGGGAGACCAGGAGAAGCACCTGGTTCCTGCCTTGGGATCAACGCGGTGCGCCAGCTGCAGCGCGCTGGCCACGGTGGCCATTGGAGGGTGAACCAAGGCAAAGGAAGATCTTTCTCTCTGTCTCTCTCTCTCACTGTCCACTCTGCCTGTAAAAAAAAATTAAAAAAAAGAAGTGACATGGGATTCACCAAGCTAAAACTATTGTGTCATCAAGCTGCCTTCCTTCGGAGACTTGGGGAGAACCCATCCTTTGGCTTTTCTAGCTTCTTGAAGTTCCTAAGTTCCTTGGATTGTGGCCCCTTCTCCCATATTCAAAGCAAGCCAAAGTGAGTCAAATCCCTTTCATGTTTCAAATCTCTCTGCGTCTTTCATCTGTCTGGCTTCTCTCCCTCTCTCTCTCTCTCTCTCGCTCTCTCTCACTCTCTCCCAAGGCCCCTGTGATAACATTGGACTTGGATGTATACAGATAATCCAGGAAAACCTCCCTTTTTTAAGGGTGATTAGGGATCTTAATACTATCTGCAAACCTGCCTTTCCTTTTGCGACGTAGCATAACACACTCACAGGTCTAGGATTACGTCCTAGACTACATTGTGGGGCTATTATTTTGCTTACCACATCCTCCACAACAACAACAATAAAATCATTGTATGGTAAATGTCTATGTTGCTGAGTCTGGGAAGCCCTGCCCCAGAGAAAGCTTACTAGTTCTCCAAGATGGGTATTTCTTTGAATGTGGGTAAAAGAACAAGAAAGCTACCTTCAAACTGACTCACTTTAAGAGTTAACATCACATTGGCAGGCGCCATGGCTCACTTGGCTAATCCTCCGCCTGCGGCACCGGCACTCCAGGTTCTAGTCCCGGTTGGGGCGCCGGATTCCATCCCGGTTGCTCCTCTACCGGTCCAGCTCTCTGCTGTGGCCCATGAGGGCAGTGGAGGATGGCCCAAGTGCTTGGGCCCTGCACCCACATGGGAGACCAGGAGGAGTAGCCATTTTGGGGGGTGAACAACGGAAAAGGAAGACCGTTCTCTCTATCTTTCTCTCTCTCACTGTCTAACTCTGCCTGTCAAAAAAAAAAAAAAAAGAGTTAACATCACAGAACATTTAATAATTTTGACAATTTCCTTAAAAGCCACAGCTGTATAACATTGCGTATCTACTGCTGGCCAAGATACGATCATCATGTGGTACACACAATGAGGAAGTGAAAAACCTCCTATTAAATAAATGAAGCGGCAGCTTCTGGTAACAAACATATGAAACAGAATATTCATCTTTTCTTCAGTGGGAATAACACATGACAAAAGTGAGGCTTTCTTCACATTGTTTGTTTATAGAACATTCATCTCCACTGAGGCTTTATGTTAAATTTGCTCTCTGATGTTAGCATTTCCAGGATGCACAGGGCCACTGGAGTATGTTCCTATGATCTTACCATTTACTTACCTTGATATGAAGCCCCAATTACTGTCAGAGATGCTTCTTGTTAAATATGGTAAGAGTTCCAGCTTCTGAGGGTGTGAATATGTATTTGATTCCCTGGGGCTAAGCTCAGATGGAAATTGAGGAATAAGAGTGCTGGGGACGTGGGTGCAGATTAATTAAATATCTAAAGATTACAGTGGAGGAAGTTTGGACTGTAGAGAAAAGCCTGGAATTCAGGGAGAGAGGATTGTGTATTAGGAGGCTGGGAAATTTGTTTTTCTAACACTGAAACCTCTTTTCCTTGGGTTGCATGGTGTATTTCTCTCTCTCTCTCTCTCTCTGCGTGTGTCTACACATCTATGTGTGCTCATACACACATCTGCTCATTCACTGAGTATTATTTTGCTTGTGTGTTGCTTTCTAGTATCTTTCAACACCTTAATCAGCTCTTTTGAATTATCGGAAATCAGGAGTCAGAGTATAACATGTAACTTCCAACAACATTGGGGAAAGACTACTCTCCAGATAAAATATTGGAATTCTCCTGATGTATTCAGACTGTCATGTTTAGTTACTGGTTTCCTTTGGGTAATCCAACTCTATTTTATTCATGGGCTATGCTAAAAATACAATCAAAGGACACCTACTGGCTACAAGCGACTTTGCTCATTTCTAATAGGACTGGGAAGAATGGTTTGAATTTAGTGCAGATGCAGGAAAATATGTGCTGTCATCAGGAGCCTATCACACTTTCAACTTATAAAATATCTTGGCTGGAGTCTGGCCAGGGTGGGTATGAGGTGGGAGTGTTAGGATGAATGTGTTGGGTCAGATAAAGGAAGGACCAAAGCAGTCCTTAAATAGACTGTAAATTGAACAGAATGGAATACTATTATTTTTGGCACAATAACTAGAAAAATGTTATTCTTGTCTCTTCTTCTAGTTTTTTTTTTTTTAAAGTTGCATTTAGTCTCCATTTTAGAGTTTGATAAATATATTTTATTTCTTGCAGCCTCAGAGACCTGCTTTGGGGAAAGTTCAGAAGTTCTGTGGTTCTGAATGTGAAAAAGAAATGATTGCATCATTGTTGTTGCTGTGCTGGGGTATTTTCTGGGGAAACATTTCCCTTCCTTCATAGAAGTCTGTCCTGGGCCTAGGCTTAGGCTTAGGTGAAGTGAATGATCATTGCCTAGGTATGAAACACGTGCCTGCAGCACCTCAGCTATACTTTATAACCTCAGAGCACATAAACAATTCAATTTGGAAAGTCAGTTAAGTTCTTCCTTTGCATTCCATCTTATTGGCTGCCTATGTTGTTTATCATTCTTTGCTGTTGTGGAGAAGATGAAAGCAATGCAGTTTTAGTTAAAGGGCAATATGTTTTCAGCCTTATGTAAAGAAACTACGTTTTGCACAGTAGTAATTAGCACAGAAGCGTTGTGGCATGTCAAAACTCCAAAGACATCCCAGACTCAAATGCTAAGTGGCAGAGAAGACTTCAAAACATGGAAAAATCGAGACATGGTGCAGTGTGGTAGTTTTGAACTTAAGTGCGTTTCAGAATCTTCTGGAAGGCTTGATAACACATAGATGTCTGGATCTCACCCCCAGACTTTGATTGGTAGATCTGGGGCGAGGTCCTAGAATTTTCATTTCAAAGAAGTTTCCAGGGGATGCAGTTGCTGCAGGTCTAGGACAACGCTGAGGACCAGTGCCATGGTGGATAGCAGCGGACATAATGCCTTTGAGTCTGGCCTCCTCCATTCCTAGATGTTCAGTCTCAGACAAGTTCCTCAATCCCTTGCTACTCAAAGTTCTTGGACCAGTGTCACCTGGAGGCTTGTAGTTCTGGGTGTGGGTTCCACTGAGTCCTACTGAATCAAAATTTGCATCTGGGTAAGAATTGCAGACCATGTGTTCACACTTAAATTAGTAAGAACTAAAACCCCTTTGTTCTTATTTTCTTTTTCTGTAAAAAAAAAAAAAAAGACTTTCAGGAGTATAGTATTGTCAAATGAAACAGGGGTGTAGTGCTGTAAATGAAACAAGCTTAGCATAGTACCTGGCACAAAAGGTGTCCTCAGGACCCTAATAAAAGTTGACAGTTATAATTAATATTTTGTTTTTATCTATCAGAGAGGAAGAGAAAAAGAGAAAAAGAAACAGATCTGGCATCTGCTGGTTCAGTCTCCAAATGCCTGTAATATCTGGGCTGAGCTAAGCTGAAGCTAGGATCCCAGAACTCAATCCAGGTCTCCCACATGGGTGGCAAGGATCCAAGTCCTTGGACCGTCATCTGGTGCCTTCCATGGTGGGCATTAGTAGAATGGGTTTGTAAATGGAGTGGAGACGAACTCTGGCACTCCAAAATGAGATCCAAGAATTTTAGTTGCTGCCCCAAACGCCCACCCCTAGTTATAATTTTTGTTAAAGATTTATTTTATTTATTTGAAAGGCAGAGTTACATAAAGAGATTTTCCATCTGCTGGTTCATTCCCCAAATGGCTGCAACAACTAGGCTTGGGCCAGACCAAATCCAGGATCCAGGAGCTTCTTCTAGATTTTCCACATGGATGAAGGGGCCCAAGGACTTGGTCCATCTTCCTCTGCTTTCCCAGGTGTATCAACAGGGAGCTTGATCGAAAGTGGAGCAGTCAGGACTTGAGACGTTGCCTATATGGGATGCTGGTGTCTAGGATGGCAGCTTTACCACTGTGCCACAGTGCCAGCCCATAATTATTAAGCCAATTTGGGATAAAAAGCAAGAAACTTCTTTTATTACAATAACTTGTTTCTTAAAATCCACTCAACATGGATTAAAGATCTAAATCTATGACCCGACACCATCAAATTATTAGAGAACATTGTAGAAACCCTGCAAGATATTGGCACCAGCAAAGACTTCTTGGAAAAGACCCTGGAGGCACAGGCAGTCAAAGCCAAAATTAACAATTGGGATTGCATCAAATTGAGAAGTTTCTGTACTGCAAAAGAAACAGTCAGGAAAGTGAAGAGGCAACCAACAGAATGGGAAAAATATTTGCAAACTATGCAACAGATAAAGGGTTAGTTACCAAAGAGATCAAGAAACTCCACAACAACAAAACAAACAACCCACTTAAGAGATGAGCCAAGGACCTCAATAGACATTTTTCAAAAGAGGAAATCCAAATGGCCAACAGACACATGAAAAAATGTTCAGGATCACGAGCAATCAGGGAAATGCAAATCAAAACCACAGTGAAGTTTCACCTCACCCCGGTTAGAATGGCTCACATACAGAAATCTACCAACAACAGATGCTGGCGAGGATGTAGGGAAAAAGGGACACTAGCCCACAGTTGGTGGGAATGCAAACTGGTTAAGCCACTATGGAAGTCAGTTTGGAGATTCCTCAGAAACCTGAATATAACCCTACCATACAACCCACCCATTCCACTCCTTGGAATTTACCCAGAGGAAATTAAATTGGCAAACATAAAAGCGGTCTGCACCTTAATGTTTATTGCAGCTCAATTCACAATAGCTAAGACCTGGAATCAACCTAAATGCCCATCGACAGTAGACTGGATAAAGAAATTATGTACTCTATAGAATACTATACAGCAGTCAAAAACAGTGAAATCCGGTCATTTGCAACAAAATGGAGGAATCTGGAACACATCATGCTGAGTGAAATAAGCCAGTCCCAAAGGGACAAATATCATATGTTCTCCCTGACCAGTGACAACTAAGCGCCAAAAAGGAAACCTGTTGAAGTGAAATGGACACCATGAGAAACAGTGACTTGATCAGCCCTTGTCCTGACTGTTGATGTACAACTTAATACTTTATCCCTTTTAGTATTTTTTTATCCTACTTAATAGTATTGAACTCTGTAATTAACACACAATTATTCTTAGGTGTTGAAATTTAACTGAAAAGTGATTCCTGTTAAATATAAGAGTGGGAATAAGAGAGGGAGGAGATGTACAATTTGGGACATGCTCAAACGGACTTCCTCCAAATGGTAGAGTTAGAAATGTGCCAGGGGATTCCAATTCATTCCCATCAAGGTGGCATGTACCAATGCCATCTCACTAGTCCAAGTGATCAATTTCAGTTCACAATTGATCATACTGATAGGTCTATGAGTCAAAGGGATCACATAAGCAAGACTAGTGTCTGCTAATACTAACTGATAGAATATAAAAGGGAGACAACAATCCAACATGGGAAGGGGGATACACAGTAGACTCATAGAATGGCGGATGTGCTAAATAGCACTCTGGCCTCAGAATCAGCCCTTAAGGCATTCAGATCTGGCTGAAGAGCCCATGAGAGTATTTTAGGCATGGAAAGCCAAAACACTCTGGCAAAATACAAAATAAAACAAAAAAACAAAAAACAAACAAAAAACAAAACAAAACAAAACAAAAAAACAACCTAAATGAAAGATCTCTGTGAATGAGATCCCAGTGGAAAGAACGGGCCATCAAAGAAGGAGGTGCCTTTCTCTGAAGGGAGGAGAGAACTTCCACTTTGACTATGACCTTGTCTAAATAAGATCAGAGTTGGCAAGCTCAAAAGGCCTCCATAGACTTGGCAACTCATGACAAGAGCCTGGGGAGATTGCTGATGCCTTAAACAAGAGTGTCAAATTGTTAAGTCAACAACAGGAGTCACTGTGCACTTCTTCCTCATGTAGGATCTCTGACCTTAATGTGTTGTACATTGTGAATTAATGCTATAACTAGTACTCAAACAGTATTTTACACTTTGTGTTTTTGCGTGGGTGCAAACTGTTGAAATCTTTACTTAATATATGCTAAATTGATCTTCTGTATATAAAGATAATTGAAAATGAATCTTGATGTGAATGGAATGGGAGAGGGAGCAGGAGATAGGAGGGTTGCGGGTGGGAGGGAAGTTATGGGGGGGGAAGCCATTGTAATCCATAAACTGTACTTTGGAAATTTACATTTATTAAATAAAAGTTAAAAAGAAACAATAACTTGTTTCTTAAAGCTTAAAAATATTTGGTTCTCCTTCGTTTTCTCATCTTTCTATCTGTAGGCTGCTAGTTTCCCTGGGCTACAAATGGTACTGTGACTGTGGTGGGTTTGAGGGCAATGAGTTTCCTGTTTTACCTACTTCCATCATATAAGTCTTATACAAAGGTGTTTTCAATTATCTTATGGGCGAGTAAGGGGATTCTGGAAACAAGGTTAACATTAACTTGAAAGTCTACTTTGGAAAGAGCTATGAGAGGAGGCCTTAATGTCAATCAGACTTCAGTAAGGAGGAAGCACAAAAAACTGGAGATGGGCATTAGAATTTCCTGTGTTCCTTTCTTCCCCGCTTATTTCAATTCAGTTCTGAAATTGTTTTCAGAATTATGTGAAATTATTTTGCCCCTTTGTGACCTTGGATAAGTTGATGTACCTTCAAGAGGCTTCTTTGCAATGAAACATTTCATTTTTTCCTGGGTTGGCTCAGTGCTCTGACTTATTTTGTTAGAATTTATTTATTTATACTTATCTGAAAGGTAGAGAGGAGAGATGGATGGAGGGAGGGAGAGATAGAGAATGAGAGTGATCTCATCTTTCTGGTGGTTCACTTCAAATGCCTGTAACAGGCAACAGCTGGGGCTTGATCATGCTGAAGCCAGGAACTGAGAACTCAGTCCAGGTCTCCTATGTGGGTGGCAGGGACCAAAGTTCTTGGGCCATCACCTACTGCCTCCCAGAGTATGTATTAGCAGGAAGCTGGTATTGGAGGTGGAGTTGGGACTCAGACCCAGGCACTCTGATATGGAATACAGGTGTTGTAAGCACACCATAGCTATTGTGCCAAACACCTGCTGCTTGGTGCTCCGGCTTCTGAGAACCTGTTTCTGCTCAGTGTTGGGGCCTCCAAATCCTCTCATTTGCTTCTAGGATCTGGCTCTAACAAGTAGAAGCTTGCCCTTGGATTTGTGATTTATCACTCCTGAATTGTAATTAGCAGGCCTGGTGTCTGGGCTCGGATCAACTTCTTTATCTTGGGCAGAATCATCATCTACATTGAATCCTAGTTCTCTCATCTTTAAATAGGAACCCTTATGTTATTTTTGTATCTCTCCCAAGGTTGTAGTACACATGTACATGTGTAGGGACTTGAATAACAGCATTGCTTTAATGTCAGGCATGCCCCTGGAATGCAAGAGTAGAACTGGCCTCAGGGAACACTGGGTGCACTGATGGATGAGGCCTTCTCCCCGAACCCAGATAAGTGAGGTTTTATTGAGAGTGGTTGCGAAGACATTGGCCTGTAAAGGCCAGACACACGTGTGTGTGAGGGAGGCTCTGTATTTCATTTGTGAAGGTCTAGGGGCTGGCAGCCCCTTTCAATGTCCAGCAGGTAAAACCCTGCTGAGAAGCCTGAGGCAATGCCAGCTGCAGCCGACCTTGCAGAGTGGCAGGTGGTTGCTTCAGTAGACGATTTCTCATCTCCTCTTCAGTAGGGCTGCTGCCACCTGCCAAGCCCTGGCTGCATCCCGAATGCCACAGCAGGTTGTCCTATAGGGAGGGCAGATTGTAAAGGGTTAAAGGTAATCGTGACTGGAATGTAACAAGTCCCTGGCCAGGGTCTCAGTTAAGACCATCTTTTCCATCCAGTGTCAGCTGCAGGAGTCTTGGCTGCTGAAAGGATGTATGAGAGCATCTCATCAGGAAGCTCCCAGATGCATGTTTGAATCCATAAACAAATAAGCAAACGATACTGGACCGCAATCCTGCTGGTAGGCCGTGTCATTTCTGGAAAGAACATGGACTCTACCACACACCCTCCAAGCTTGACTCCTGGCTTCCAATGTAAGTTCCTGTCTTTGATTTTTTTTTCTACTTGGCCTAAGCCACCTTTGGCAGCCAGATTTTACTCTCTTTAGGATCCTATCCTTGTGCCCAGCCCTCCTTGCTCCTCTGTTGATTCTAATACCCAGTGTGGACTACAAACTTCCCTCTGTGATCTTAAAATCATTCCAACCTCCTGTGTTGTAGATGCTGTGGGAACAAAACTGCTGGAAAGAGCTGCCTTGAAGCTTGGTTTCTGTGTACTGTATGGCTGTTGCCTGTGTGCAAGGCTAAGTTTTGGAGCTGAGTAGGATAGAACAAGAGGCAGGGCTTGAGGCGTCCTCTTTGCTGGTCTAGATTAGGTCAGAGTTGCTGTGTCCCACACTCAGGACTTCCTACATGGTGGTGACAGGTTTCCTCCACTGTGACAGCACACTGGGACTCATTCCTGGAAGCTCTGCATAGGTGTTTTAAGCCACTTAATGCCTAGCAATAAATCACATTGTACTGAAACTAGCTAGAGTGGTTTCTGTTGGCCACAGTTGAATCCTAACTGAAATACAGGCCACTGGCCATTCTCCCTGAACAATATAATTCTTCACCTTTCATACCAGTGTTCTGAGCCAGCCTGAAAAATCTTACATTGTCCTTGTTCCATAGTTGGGCAGGGGTCTTTCCGCCCCTTACTTCCAAGCACATTTGCTGACATTATCACTGCTGCTCCACAGATCAAAGGCTGTCCTATGACTTGAGCAATCAGTAATGCTACTAAATTGAAATTTCTGAAATTTGGGGTGAAGAAGGATGAGTTGTATGTGAGTTTATATAGTTTTGTGGTGTAATCATGTTCGGATATTTCAAATGAATTGATTTTTGGAGGTTGATCAGAAATTTTTTATACCTTCTGCCCTATTACACATTTTTTCCCCTAGAGATTTTTAAAAATTTATTTGAAAGGCAGGATGACCCCCACACACAGATACATAGGGAGGGAGAGATAGAAAGATCTTCTATCTGCTGTCATTCCCCCATTGGCTGTAACAGCTGGGGCTGGGCCAGACCAAAGCCAGGAGCCTAGAACTCCCTCCAGGTCTCCCATGTGGGTGGCAAGGGCCCAAGTCCTTGGACCATTTTCTGTTGCGTTCCCAGTTGTGTTAGCAGAGAGCTGGATTGAAAGCAGAGCAGCCAAGACTTGAGCCTACACTGTGATGTGGGATGACTGCATTGCAGGAGGCAGGCTACACTACTATACCACAGTGTCAGCCCCTCTGTTGGTTTTTCTAACCTTTGAGGACACCTTCAGCTTTTCATTCATTTGTTCATTCATTCATTCATTCATTTGTTTTTTTTTGAAAATTACTTTTTTAAAATGAAGAGTATGTTTCATTTCAAAAATGCCTATGTATGTGTTTTTCTAGGTGTTATCAAATAGTATCCTTCAGGGTATCCTTTTAAAGATACTGAACACATGTGCAGAAGATAAGAAACTTTGTAAGAGTTTGCAAGAGTCTCCAGTGATTGCTGACATCATAAATAAGAGTGCCAATTGTTAAATCAACAACGGGAGTCACTGGGTACATGCTCCCCACGTAGAATCTCTGTCCTTAATGTGTTCTACTATGAAACTTAAAAACAACTCTAGTGGTCGAACAATACCCTATACCTTATGTGGTTGTGTGAGTGCAGCCTGTTGAAATCCTTGCTTAGTATATACTAAGTTGATCTTCAGTATCTGAAGGTAATTGAAAATGAAACTCGATGAAGGGCGGGATGGGAGAGGGAGTGGGAGAGGGGAGGGCCACGGGAGGAAGGGAGGTTGGGGGAGGAGCCACAACAATACAAAGCTGCACTTTGTAAATTTTATTAAAAAAAAACTATATAACAAACAAACAAAAAGAAACAGAAAAAAAAAGAACTTAATACTTTACCCTTTTAGTATTTTTTATGTTCTACTTAAAACTATTGGTTGAACTCTGTAATTAATACACAATTACTCTTAGGTGTTTAATTAATGCTATAACTAGTACTCAAATAGTATTTTACACTTTGTGTTTCTGTATTGGTGCAAACTGTTGAAATCTTTACTTAATATATGCTAAATTGATCTTCTGTATATAAAGATAATTGAAAATTAATCTTGATGTGAATGGAAGGGGAGAGGGACTGGGAGAGGGGAGGGTTGTGGGTGGGAGGGAAGTTATGGGGAGGGAAGCTATTGTAATCCATAAGCTGTACTTTGGAAATTTATATTCATTAAATAAAATAAAATATAAATATAAAAAAAGAAACTTTGTAAAAAGATTTATTTATTTGAAAGATTGATAGAGACAGAGCTCTTCCATCTGCTAGTTTATTCCCTAAATGGCTACAAAAGTTGGGGCTGGGCAAGGCCAAATCCAGGAGCCTAGAACTCCATGTGGGTGGCAGGGGCCCAGATACTTGGACCATCTTCTGCTTTCGCAGGCTGATTGGCAGGGAGCTGGATAAGAAGTGGTAGAACCAGGAATTGAATTAGTGTGCCATAATGAGATGCCAGCATTGTAGGAGGCGGCTTAACCTGCTGTGCTACAACATAGGCCCCTGATAAACTTATAATTAGGAAGTAGGAGTATCAAGGGATACCAGAGTCACACTGAAGTCACTAGTTCGAACTTTGGTGTTATGGACTTTTCTGGTGGGTTCTCTGTGTCATTGTGCCATTGCTCTTCCTCAAGTCTATCTCACAGAAAGCAGCTGAACACATTCACTCATTAAGATGACAGAAGTCACAGAGTTTTTGAAACTACTGATATTTCCTGCTACCTGCAAGGGAAGAAATTGTAACTGAGAGACAAAGTGGCTTTTGTTCTTGAGGTATGTAATGGACATGTGGATAATCCCATGTAGAGTTTCTCTCTGCATCACTACATCTGTATGAATGGTACAAAAGATCTCAGAAGAGTTCAAGTGTCTGTCAAAGCCTGAGTAATCAAGAGGGTGCCTGGTGGCATGTTTTGGCTGGAAAAGGGGTTTCATACATGCAAAACACATGCATATACACACAGACAAAACATTCACAAATTTCCTTTTGAAGCTCAGTTAGTTTCTGCCTTTAATCACAAACCATTCCTGGAAACTCTATCATAAAATAGTCACTTTTCCCATAAGAACAATGTCATAATTGGGTGTTGCAGTCCTGACCAAGGACTTACCATTAAATAAACCATAGATGTGACAAAAATATGTTGTAAAAGTAAAGATGCAATAGCTATAAACCTTTGTAATAATTTTAAAGAATAAAATTATGCTCTGTCATATAAATGGGCTCAAATATACTATATACATTGATTATACAAGAAATCTCAATGAGCTATAACGTCTGGTACAAATCTAGTGCATCATAAATTTGACCTAAAACTAATATTCTAGCTAAAATAAACATTAAACATTTAATTAAATATAATTTTTCTTGCCTTCTTGGAAATGAAGGGGATATTTTAAAATATTATTTGGAGGCCCAGTTTCTTCTAAGGGAGCCAACCCTGTTTTCTTATTATCTGTGAACTTTCCACTAACAAGTAGTGGCATCACAGGAGGCATCCTGAAACAATAGTCCATGGGAATTGCCACCAAGCTGGCACATTTCAAACCACTGAGTGGGGAAACAGGATAAAGTGATATAGGTTTGGTCTATGGAATCTCACATGAATGAAGTGCCACATTGGAAGACATGATTGGTGGTGTGTCAGTATAGATTTTAGAACTGAGCTTGCTGTAAACTCTATTGTGTCTTCCTTTAATAGCACTCTTCATGTTTATCCATGCCTTATTACTCAGTTACTTGCAAAGAACATCTACACCTTTAGAAACCATATGGTGCTCTTCAGTTTCCCCTTGGGAGAGCAAGTTCTAGCGTCTTCAACAGTTCTGATACTGTTTTTCTAATAAAGCAAAATAAAAAATACAAAAACCATGGGAGCTCATTTTTCTTAAATATAACATATGAATATAGGTTGTAGGAATATGCTTTCAGGTTCACTGCTTCTAGTGCATGGAGCCATGCCTGGCCAATGATTAGTACTCAGAAATATCTATTGAAAGAAAAAGAGAGGAAGGAAAGAAAGAAGAAGGAAGGGAAGAGGGGCTGCTCAAATATGAGCTTGAAGTTCCTCAGGCCTCCCAGAACACACTTGAAATATGTTTATAAAGAGAAGATGCTTTGAGGAGGTCAAGAAACTGCACTCCCATGAGTGGTTAGAATAGTCTACCCAGCAAGGCAGGTACAAGGAAATCAGCTTAACAGATTCCAGGAGCAGGCAGTTTAAGAATCAGTGTAATTCAAGGGATTGGGAAAGATAGTCATCTTCTGCCTTCTCTTTCTCCTTCTCCTCAGGTCTTCTCGTGTTCTCCACTTCTTATCCATTCAACTTGCACTTGTAATCCAGAGGCTCCTAAACCTCTTCCACCGCAGCCTCTGATCTTGGCCCCGATCTTTATATCTGACCATCTACTGGATCTGCTTTATTCTCTCAAAGGCATCTCAAATTCATCTTATTCAAAACTAAATTTATTATCCTTCCTCATCCAAATTTGAATGCCTTATACTTTCATATTTTTGATGAAAGGCTAAAATCTTACTTTGCTTTCTTGAATAAAAGAGAGGTTGACATTTCTTGGGACACTTACATGTCAGATCAGAGTGCCTGGTGTTGAGTCCTGGATCTGCTTCCAATTCCAGCTTCTTGCTAATGTGTGATGTGGGAGACAACTGATGATGGCTCAAGTATTTCAATCCCTGCCATCAGCTTGGGAGACTTATATTGAATTCTAGGCTCTTGGTTTCAGCCGGGCCCAGCCTTGGCTGCTGTAGACATTTGAGGAGTGAATTAGTGGATGGAAGAGTTTTATTTGTTTCTCTCTCACTCTCATTGTTCTTCATACAAATAAAAAAAAAATAAAGAATACAAAGCAGTAAGTACTATTCAGTAATAGAAGATTTGTAAAAATATTTTCTGTTGAATCCTTCAATTACTTGCAGATATTCATATATTAATACAGACAAGTAATATAAGTCTAGGTTCAATGATCTGTATTTCAGTAGTTATCTGATTTCATTCTTAAGAACATACTATAGGGACAGACGCTGTGGTGTGGTAGATCATCTGTGACACCAGCATCCCATATGGGTGCTAGTTTGAGTCACGGCTGTTCCACTTCCAGTCCAGCTGCCTGCTGATGCACCCGGGAAAGCAGCAGAGGATGGCCCAAGTTTTTGGGCCCCTGCACCCACATCAGAGACTTGGAAGAAACTTGCCTATGGCTTCAGATTGGCCCAGCTCCAGCCCTTGTGGTTTTCTGGGGAGTGAACCAGTGGATGGAGGATCTCTGTCTCTGCCTCTTTCTCTAATTCTGCCTTTCCAAATAAATAAATAAATCTTAAAAAATATACTATAAAGAAAAACATCTATCTTCAATCAGTGTGTAAGTATCAGTTTGCTCAACTGCAAAAATGCAAAACTATATTTGAAAATATTAATATTCCAAAGACATAGTCAAAAAATATTGCATTTATTACAATAGGCATTTTGAGTTACTTAAAAATAGTTGGACTTTATGGTCAATTGGCTATAGCTATGTTACTGGTAATAAACTGTAAATCTTAATGAATCACCTTTTAAGACCACAGAGCATGATATTTCAAGGTAAAGAGAAGATGTAAGAATTTATACAGCATGCCAATTTTGTTGTAACTGTTATTAATAAATTAGGAAGGGGGTACAAAAGGATGAATTGCTGGAATTCATTAAACTGAGGGTAACTCTCTTTGTGCTTGAGCCAATTATTTCTAAGATGGAGTGCTCAGAGCAGGCAGTAACATCCAAAGCCAAGATATCATAAAAGTGAGAGAAAAAAATCATTAGTGAGACATCATAGCAGTGGTTGTTGTCCAGGAATTTTAATCCTACTTAAAGACTAACTGAAGATGAACTTGCCCCATTTCCTGGAAAGCTCACTTTGTGTTTTAGTGGTTAAATGTATAGACAGATTGCTTGGGTTCTCATCGCTGGTGGGACCTTATGCAAATTAGTTCTCCCCATCAAGCCTTGATTTTTTTCATGTGTAAAATTAGAATAAAGGAATGACCTCTTGAGTGAGCTGCTGGGTTGAGACAATGAATATAGAACTGCTAACAGAGTGCCTGAAAGAGTGTTAGCTGACATTATTTTATATATTATATATTAATCTTCATAAAATGAATGTTTATTGTCTTAGTCAACTTCAGCTGCTATGATAAAATATAGACTGGGTGACTTAAACAACAAATGTTTGCTTCTCATGGTTTTGGAGTCTGGGAAGCCCCAAGATCCAGGTGCTGGCAGATTTTGTTCTTTCTTACAGTTGGCCACCTTCTTGTTGTATCCTTACATAGGAGGGGGAGGGAGGGAAATAGGGAGTATGTGGAGGGGGGAGGGAAGGAAAGAAAGGAAGGTAGGCTCCAGTGTCTCTTCTTACAGAGGCATCAAAACCATCATGAAGCTCCACTCTTAGGAACTCATAAACCTACTTACCTCCCCAAATGCCACATCTCTGCATTAGCACATTGGGTGCTATGGCTCATTATATGAATTTTTGAGAGAACACAAATATTCTGTTCATAATGTATATAATATACTACATAACAAGAATAATGAAACAACTAACATCTGTTAAATAATAAATTTATTATTAAATAAATTTTAGGGTTAACAATGTTGGGCTCTGCAGTTTAACAAAATATCTGGTGTTATATTTGAGTAATAAAGTACTTTAAACATTATATTTCCCTTATTGTGAGCATACCCCAATTTGAAGGATCACACATTACCAAAATGAAGTAAATAAATATGTAGTGATTAAAAAAACAGAAACTTGGCCAAGCATTATTATTTTCTGGGGCAGAATTTTGTAGGAAATTCATTTGTTGAGTCTGGATGATAAGCCTGCTCATGAAAGCTCCATGTTCATTGGCTTAAAAGATGCTGTGCCTTTTTGTAATTATTGGATGGGAAACTGTGAAAATGCAGGATCTTTGTAAGTCACACACACTTGGGGCAATACAAGCAGTTCTTCAAAGGTTTTTTTTTTTTTGACAGGTAGAGTTATGGACAGTGAGAGAAAGAGAGAGAGAAAGGTCTTCCT